TGGTTGACTCTTATATAGTCCATCACAATCTCTTTCTAATAAATGTGTCTTGTTTTGGAGGGGGTTACTGTAACAGCTGTGCAAAGTTTGCATACCTCTATGGTCATTGTATTAGTACTTTGTCTTACATTTTTTTCTGGGAATCTTACAGTCTAACGTGCTCATTAGTAATAATAATGTCATGTATCACGCGCCCTATTGCTGTCGCACGTGCAACCTGACAGTTATCTCTTCTCCACGGAAATCTTATGGTCAACTGTTGGTTAACTCAAATTTGATATGCAAAATAAATTTTTTTATTTTTTTTAATATGCAAATGTTTCCGCCATCTTTTACGCATAAAATATACAATTTATTTTCTATTTATAATGATATTTTGTAATGCCCCCATGGTAACGTTTCAGTCGAATCGGGTATGATATATCGTTTGTCATCGTACGGACTTAGAGCAATTTTCGTCTCAGACACTGTGTACACTTCATACAATTTTGATCGTATGCACGGCGTCGTGATTTACGGCGAGTCGTTTCGATCTCCTCTCTCAACAACTGTGCGTAATCATCGAAAGATATCGTTCGCGCTACAACATTACTCTTGACACCTTTGGCCTTTTTCGTGTCTTTCCTGCCATCCACTCGCAAAGCGTACATCTTTGCCCTAAGTCCGATAAATTCCGTTATGATCGCTCTGTTGTTTTCATCTTTCATTAAACCAGGCACCTTCTTATTTACATGCGGTATATCGTACGCGTTGTCAGTGGGATAATCGCTCGTATCAAACCTTGCAATATCACGTTTCATGTGCTCATATACATCATCGCATTCGATGTTGTAAATAAGACTGTCTGTGTCAGTGTACGTTATTTTACATTTGTCGCGATACAGAGGATACATGTACTCGTGATGAAATTCATACAAGCAAACCTTTGATATGTCGAGTATGCACATATCCACGTAGATTGGCTTGTTGAATTTCACCTTGAGTTTGCGCAATTCAATGACGATTAAGTTTTCCGAAAATACTGCTACTGTGAAAATTTGGTTTTGCGATCATTGCCTCTTCACCGTATCTACCGTCCCAATGTGTTACTAGTTTTACATCGACATGATTTCGAACATTTTCCATCGTTTTGCCGAATACCGCATTGTTCATCAATTTGTACAAATTTTTCTCAAAATCATTAGTTGCACGCGTTCTAAATTGCGTGTTTCATTCGATATAAATGCGGAGCCAGGGAGATTGAGCGAATTGGAGCACGCGGTGAATCTTTGTAATACGAAGACCGTGGCGCGTGCACTGCTGCAGGTTGCGGTAGTGGATAATATAACGCTGCTTATCGTATAACGTCGCGAGAAGTTTCTCCTGACGCTTGCCGGGTGGCTTATCGCGCATAGGACAAAACGGTAGGTCAGTGTGCACATCGTGCAAATTTTGCGGATACTCCAAGTCGACCTCGAGAATGTATCCTGTGGGCGAATCGTCAGCGACTGAGAATACGTCAAAGTTTGACACGTTGTCGATCCATCGAAACTCGGCGTAAGGCAATGGTTGACACATTGCCCATCCATACAAATTGTTTACGTCAAAATACATTAAGTACGACGATGGTTTCGACGGGTCGTAAGACTGCATGTACT